GAACCTCAAGAAGGAAAACAATTCAGTCCAGACTAAGAGTATTTCAGACAGAACCAGACAAAAAACTCCGTATGAAGAGAGTTTTTTTAAGCAACAAGGGCTTAAAGTTATTTCCACGGAGTTTCAGGACTGTCACTTTCTATGATGAAATTTATTCCTGCTCAATATGCCAACTGTTTCAATCTTATGCCTAAAGTCAAGACTTTACATAGGAGCCTCTGCTCCCAACACCTCCAAGAGCCAGAACTGCTTTCATGTAGGAACCGAAATCCATACTTTCGTGTGTCAGCATACCTGCTTGTGAGTGAAGGCATATGATTGCAATGCTGTTTTCCTTGCTCAGAGGAAATTTATTGTTGATACCAGAGGGCCAAACTGTACAAAGTGAATTTGCAAGAATTCAGCAAGACCACATCCGCTTTCTGACAGGAAGAACCTAAAGAAAGGAATTAGCAGGATCGGATGTGGTGCTTTCTGACAGAGAGCCAAACCTAGGAGGCCAAAATAAGAAGGCAGTGTAAAAATAGATTTATGCTTAAATTGAAATGTGCACAATTCCCATTTCTGTCACTGCACCCTGGATTAAGCGACTATTTTATGGTAGTTTATAAATTCAAAAGCCCTGGGTTCAACAGACCACCCATTTCACCATAAATTAAGCTGCATTCTAGAATGCTATAAGTGACAGCATTTCTAGTGGTATTATGCCTGCTTTCTTCCCCAAAAGGACAGGGGTGTGGGTGAACTTTTTCAGTGATGAACATCCCAGGCCCTGCTTTGGAGCACCATGCAGCTACACCATTGCAGGCAGCCAACCCAGGTAGAGTCTCACCACAGATTTCCGTCTCTCTTGACCTCATTCACCACCTTGCCCAGTTATTAAGAACAAGGTGATATTCTTCAGCCTGAAAGGGAATTGTTCCTATTGCATCAGATGGACCGTCAGAAGTGCACAGAATCCTTTTCCCTCTGCGTATGAGGCTCTGCTCATGCAGACCACATAACCACAGCGATAAGTACCTGCTTCCTGAGGCGGGCAAGCAAATGTCTTGCAAGAACAGTGTCAGAACCCACATTCAGAAACCCAGCCTTAAAGTGCTGACCTGTGCTGAAAATAATCTTGACAGATTGCAGGGGCAGATTCATTGTTTTATCAAACATCTCATGGCCTAAACTATTCAGCTGGTAAATATTCAGCTGGCAAGCAAGCTTCTCCTTCCAATCTGTCCCTTATTGCCTGAGTAGGGACGGTGCCTTGGAGTGAAGCCTTGTTCCAAGTGCCTCATGTTTAACCTGATCCTATCTTTCCAGGCCAGGCATCTCCAGAAGCAAATATCCTACAAATGGAATATATTTAAAAATACTTTTAGTGAAGGATCCAGATTAATTCCCAGATCTTTGCCTAAGAACTGCTTCATCAGGGCCAACAATTTTCTTCAGTGTGTTTTGGACATGCTTAGTGAGCTGTTAGCTTCAAAACATCATTGCTTATTCAGTTCTGCCCCTGACCATTGCTACAAGGCACCATAGAGGGGTGCCGTCTTTCAGCTTTCTTCTTTTGAAGAGCAGGGGAAATTCATTGAATCAGAAGTTGATCTACATGAGGACAGGGAGCTGAACAAGGCACCTGGAAGTGTATCTGTGCTATCCTGGGGGACATCAGGTTACTGTCTACCTGCATTGAACTTGCCATCTCTTTTCACATCAGCTGTGGGAAGCAGCAAGGTGGCTGCTGACTACACATGGGACAGCTTTACCAGTTAAGAAGATGCCACTGGGACTTATAAGCTGTATGGTAGCACTGGGAAGAATTAACACTATTGTCACTCATACTCTCTGCCCATGCCCATGTTGCAAGTGCCACTGTGTGTCTCCTGAGAGCTCCCATCCACTGGCTGCACAGAGCCTGCAAAGTTTCCATTCCTCTCCCTTATCCCAAAAGGTCACCGCTTCTCTTCCATGAGCCAGAGCAGAATGAAAATAAGAGGGCACAAACTGCTGCTGAAATGGGGCACACAGTGGCATGGGTACAGTGCTTCTGTAATTGTTGATGTGGCGTGGCTTTGGCAAAACGTCAAAACACACAGCTGGCTAATATAGACCCCTCTTTTCTCCAGAGCCACCTCAGAAGCAGCTATTGACTCTTCAGGCAGTAATATTCATCTGGCATCTCATTCATTCCAAGTTAATTGCTTAAATGGGTGGAAAAGGAAATTTGTGAAACGAAATGTGCTGCTGCATCAGGCATAAAGGAAACTTCGTCCCTATTAAGCTGGAAATGCTTCCCAAAGACAACACATAGGCTTTACCGTACCGAGGCACTTAAGTTCAATTCTTCAGTGGGACCACTGTTTAAAGAGAGCATTACTAACTCGGTCACAGCAAGCTTCTGTACTTCAACTTCCCAGTCACTCAGTTTACTCTTTGGGATGGTTTCCCCTACAACTTAAAAATATGGCCTTGGAAAGAATCACTAAATAAGTAAATACTTGAGTCTAGCAAGGTTTTCTTCCTAGATCCAAACCCTGGCACAGGTTGAAGCCTTGCAACTATGTCCTATCTGTTGAGGAGCCTTCTGTTGGTATTAAGTGGCATATTGTTTAGAGAAATAACACTTTTTTGTTAGAGAAGGAGAAAACATTCCAAACAAGCTCCTGGTCAAACACACATTTTTATGCGTGTCAGCAGCTTGGGAAGAAGGAGAAGGGAGCAGTTTCATTTTAAGGGTTTCTCTGAAGAAAAGTTCCGGTTTACATTGCCATGAATTTCTCCTTCAGAGTGCTCCTCATTTTCAGGATGCAATTTTGTGCTTCCTTCTCACAGCAGACTTTTATTCACAATCCATATAGCAGCACTCCTGTAAGAATTGCCTGTTTCACCTCTCTAAACAAAGCTTCTTCAGTACCTTCATTAATCCCTTGCATTTGCCATTACTGTTGTACAGAATGCCTTTTCTGCAGAGATAATAACACTGCAGCCATTTATTTAATTATTGAATGCAGTTGGCATCTTTTAAAGAAGCTTTTACAATTATTTAATTCATTATTTTTTTCCATTTGTGACCCTCACTATACTGGCTCACTGTTAGGTAAGTCTAGAAAGGTTTATTTCCCCTGAATGTAAGGTTTGAGGAAGGTCTCAGCAGTGTTTAAGGGATTGGCCCAGGATGTCTACTGACATCCTGTGTCTGTGAGCAATTTTGTCCCTTAAAATAGCATTCAAATGAGATTTTAATCCTCTGTGAAGTGTTTTTTCTTCCTCAGCTCTGGTACTGCTGTGAAATGAGCCATTCTCTTTACACCATAGCTATCAATAGCCCCAAAAAGGCAATGCAATGACTGCCAAAATAGAAACCTGTTTGCGTGCTCCCATGGTCCTTGAGGCACTCCAGCTCAGCCACAGCAGGGTAAGCTGTGCATTGCCATCTCATGTGTGTTAACAAACCAAAGACCCTGCTCCCTGGTCTTGGTTGAGGGACACGGTGTGATCTGAAAGTGCATCATTTTGTTGGAGAACATCTCCAATTACAAATGCCCGTTCAGCTTAAGTTTTCAAGTTCTCTCAAAGAAGCCTGAAAAAGACTTTATTTATTTATTTCCTTTAATCTGAGGAGAATTGCATACTGTTGTATTTGCACTTCTGCTTAAGGGGTGAGATGCAAACCGCTGTGCAGTCAAATTCGGCAGATGACTTACTTGCAATAGTGGTAGGGCTGATCCAACAAGATATGGCTGAGTAGCCAGTTCAAGAGTTAAAAGTTTCAGGCAGCTGAAGTCAACAGGTGAGTTAGAAAAAGGGGAGGAGGAACTGCAAAGAGCTGAAGAGAACTGTCAGATTTTGAAATGGAGCAAGGTGAAACTGGAAGAATCGGGCTGAGAAAAAAGCCAGGAATTTCTTGAAAGCGGCAGAACAAGCTTGGCGCAGTTTGGTGCAAGTCCGTAGCTGTGAATTCACCAGCCTTCCTTCAGGCATTAACAAAACCAGCAATAACTCTTTAAACTCTGTATTCTCTCATACCCTGCCTAAATGAACATGTTAGCTGTTTTCTTAGTACTCACTTGACTACTTTGGAAGGAGATAGCTGCAATGAGATAGATGATGACAGAGATATTTGGTGCTCAAACAATGGGAACACCTTTTCCTTGCTGGGTGGCTGGCTTCTCTAAGAGAGGAAAAGGAAGCTTAACCTGAGTCTTTGCAATTTAAGCCCATCCTTTTTCTATCAGGCATGGACAAAACCAATAAATCATTCTCTACCTCTCCACATCAGCAGCTTCCTTATTCATGGAGAAACTCTCCCCTTCAGTTCAGTGGGTTTCCAGGTTCAAGGATCGCTCCCAGGATTTAGGCCACTGAGGATTACTGCTTCAGTTGCTGCATAACAGAACAAAGCTAAAAGTTTTCATAAGGATCTCATATAACAAATATAAGGAGGCTAACAAAAAATAAAGTTGTTAATGCTCATGTGCCACTTCTCATCCTTTTGGCTCTTGTTTTAAACTTGTTACTGCAGGGTATGGGTTAGAAGTATCTTGTCTCTTGCTCTTTTTAAGGGCACTGTTTTTAAACACAGATTTCAACAAAACACCCCCCACAAGCAATTAATTTCACCTGAGGAAGGTGGAAATTAAACACAAGGGAGAGGCATTTGTAAAAAAAAAAGCTGTTAAGAAGAAAGACTTTAAAGCTGTACCTTTGAATAAATATAAAAACCATTTTGTCTTTCAAGCTGATACACTGCTGCCCAGAGGAGATATCATACAGTGTCATCAACATTACCTACTGATGTAGAAATCTGTGGTATCCATCATCAGCCCATGTCTGTCATTCCTGCTCTAAGGTAGATTGGCTGTGTGAAAAATGAGCCTTACATGTGAAACAGCTCAACACCATAACAGAGGGAGGCTCTGCCCAGGATCACAAGCTTTAATGCAGCATTTCACAATCTCAAATAACTTTTAAGTGAAGCTTATAGGAAAGAAAGGCTGATAGATACTTACTCAGGAGTTTATTTGTGATTTGGCTGAGGACACACTTCCAGAAATCTGTGACTGGTGCTCTGCACTCTTGTACATCAATGCACTGAGTGTTGTAAATGGTTATCGAGAAACCTCCATTTCAGAGGAAGGGCGTACAAGTTCAACAAAACATCAGTGTCCAAAGGAGCCTGTGGTGAAGGAGCCCTCTAAAGAGCTATTAATCTAGCTAAAAAGAAAACCTTATGAGAACACTTTAGCATTCATAAGGTTTTTTACCCCTGGGGAGATGTGTAAGGAGGGAGCTGAAAGATACAGCAACACACTCATATTTGCCTGTTTGTTTGCCTTGGTGTCAGGTATCTGGTACTTGATAAATGCAGGAATTGTATTCACTGAACTGCTAGGATGATGAAATTTTACTTTCTTCATCTGCTGTGGTTCTGCAAGAGATAAAGAATAACAAAAATGAAGTTATTAGGAAGCTGAGTGGTTGAACCTTGGAATTTCAGAGCTATGCTCAGGTTTAACTGACCTCTCTCAAGGAGAGGAGCACCCACTGCCTTCAGATTTTAGGCTTGGGTCAAGTAACAAATTCTAGAATATACATGCAAACCCTCCCAAAGTTACATTGAGGCTTTCTTGTAAGTTTTCAAGTCCTACAACAACTCATTTCTGGAATCCAGGACAAACTGGGAGTCTCACAAATCACACTAGTCCAGGTTTAGTTCCAGGAATAAGGGAAAAGTACTGCAGAGCACTCGGTTATTCTGCTATTGCTTCATCTATGAGAAAAAAATGGTCATTAATATATCAGGACAAACTTGCTTTGCTTCATTTCTAGCCTAAATGAACATCTTCCTCTCAGTTCAGTTTCACTATACAACAGCAAAATGAGAAAAGAGCCCAACAATACACTAATAGATTCCAGAAATGCTGTACAATGTCAAGAAAGGAGTCACTGAGCCATTTCCAAAAACTCTGAGTATTTGCAATATATGGTGAAGTGAAATTGTTACTCTTATGGCTCATGAAAGAAGCCCTATGACATTTTAAAAGGATTCCAATTATTATCTTATAAGAAAAAAATGATTGGTTTGTATTCCAGCTAAATCGAAGCAATTTATTGGAAAGATTGTTTCACCTATAAATAAACAGCTTGATTTGTAACGTGTAATTTTCACTGAGAGCAAATTTCGGTCTAACAGAAAATCCTCTTTTTCTAACTGGTTTCAGGGTCTTTCATGTAAGTATCCCACAAATGCTCCTGGTTCTGCAAACCCAAAGTGAAAACCATTTTCTCAGAAAATGTAAGGAAGTCTAATCAAATTAATAAAAGAATAATAGACCTAACAAGAGACATCTAATTAATAGTAATTCAGAAGTCACCCTGGGATTAGATATATGCGAAAACTGGTTTTCTTACGTGCTAAGGGAGGGATTCAAAGCCACTTCCAGGACAGGCAGCAGACAACTGCAGGAGTCTGAATTTTAGACAAAGGTTCCCCCAGGGACACTTGGGGAACCACATAGGCTCTTGTGGAGTTGAGCCCCTGGAGCTTTTGTTCTTCAGCTGTTAAACGGATGGACCAAACCTATTTTCCTTCCTCACCAGAATATTGCGAGTGTGATTCAGATTAAAACTGTCAACAGCAGGTTCTATGAAACTGGGGTCATGTAAGTGCCTGATCATTGCAGTGTCAAGAATGGTATCTGCTTGACCACCTGATAGCTAAAGGGCTTGATCGCTAAGCAACTACTAAGAAAAGAATGTGAGAATGTTGGATTTCCATTTGTCATTATCTGGTTTCCATTCTCACAGGGTAGCAGCTGATTTGAGATATAAGCTGTATTTCTGGATTTACAGAAAAAGATTAGCTATCACTAACTATTGATATCACTATTTATTCAGCTTTTCAAGATGGATTTTTTATTGCCTAGAAGGGAGTGTCTGCTATTTCCATTTTCCTGAGGAAAATGGGAGTTAAGTTATATATCTGAAAGCAGCCTATAGTCATGACACATGAGATCACAGACTTCTGAATACACTAGATGTTTCAAAGAGAATTTAAACACCTCAAATATTGTGATAGGCTTTACCACAGTGTCCTACCAGGGTCGTTTTAGGCTGGTTCAGGTAACTGAAAATAATTATCCAAAGTCTGAGCACTACTGCTGTGATGGCAGATTTTTTCATTGTTTTTTCTTAGAATCATAGAACAGTTAGGGTTGGAAAGGACCTTAAGATCACCTAGTTCCAACCACCTGCCGTGGACAGGAACACCTCACACTAAACCATGGCACGCAAGGCTCTGTCCAACCTGGCCTTGAACACCGCCAGGGATGGAGCGTTCACAACTTCCTTGAGCAACCCATTCCAGTGCCTCACCACCCCTACAGTAAAGAACTTCTTCCTTATATCCAATCTAAACTTTCCCTGTTTAAGTTTGAACTTGTTACCCCTTGTGCTATCACTACAGTCCCTAACGAATACTCCCTCCCCTGCATCCCTATATGCCCCCTTCAGATATTGGAAGGCTGCTATGAGGTCTCCACTCAGCCTTCTCTTCTCCAGGCTGAACAGCCCCAACTTTCTCAGCCTGTCTTCATATGGGAGGTGCTCCAGTCCCCTGATCATCCTTGTGGCCTCCTCTGGACTTGTTCCAACAGTTCCATGTCCTTTTTATGTTGAGGACACCAGAACTGCACACAATACTGCAAGTGAGGTCTCACAAGAGCAGAGTAGAGGGGCAGGATCACCTCCTTCGACCTGCTGGTCACGCTCCTTTTGATGCAGCCCAGGATACGGTTGGCTTTCTGGGCTGCAAGCACACACTGAAGCTGGCTCATGTTCAGTTTCTCATCAACCAACACCCCCAAGTCTTTGCACCAAGCATGAGTGAATGTCAAGCACCCAGTGAGGGTTAGCCGTTAGTATCTAAGACATTAGCTGTGGAGTCCAAAATATAGAATCTCATTGCATTAGTTCATCCATACGCCTAACCTGGTTCTCATTTCCACTCACTTCAGCTTGGGACCCCTTCTTATGTATCGGGTAGAAAGTCACCGACACCTTTATATGTGTGGCTTCTGGGGAATACACTCCCAAATTAACAGCTTAGTCTCCAAAGAAAAAGCCGGTAAAAGTACCAGTGTTTCTAACATCCCTGGAGATCACTATCACTCCAGAATGGCTGCAGACCTCACAGTGGCTGAGGAATATAGGAATCCTTATGTTTTATCATGGAATAGTTTTTTAATATGCTTAAAAAAAGAAGAAACCTCTGTACATTCAAGAAATTCCTGTACATTCAAAGGCAACATGTAAACGTGCCCCTAGAGAACAGCCTGCTGGATGATTGCGGAAGAGGGGAAAATTAAATTCAGGTGAGTATATAATAAAAAACAACTACTTGCATGTAGCTACATGATTATAATTCATGTGGGCATTGCTAACCTCTTGCTGAATTCTCAGAGATAACAAAACTAATTTGTGGCAGTGGCACTAATGTTGACACATCCCACTTGAGCACAGTGTTTTTTCATTCTCTGAACTTTTATTCCCTTCCTCAGTTTTCTGAAAGGATTTTCCACCTCTGCTCTCCCTGCTTATCACCAGCCACGTTGTGGGGATTTCTAAGGTTTTTTTTTTTCCAGCTCTTATTTCTCACTTCCTTTTTGTTAAGGGAGAAAAACTCTGCAATTACAGAAACATTATACATCCCATTTTGTCTCTGGAGCTGTTTCCACACCGAGAGCTCTTGGGTCAGGATTGACTCCACCGGTGGACACTGGGCATCTCGATGCCTAATGACCCCCATAGCTGCACAGCTTCACAATTGTGCCTTTAGAAGCAAAGAATGGATATCAGCAGGAGGAGTATGGCCATATATGAGGTATCAGTGCCAACCTTATGGGGTTTTGCCCACCAAGAATGCCCTCTGTTCAGCTAATTGTAGAGCACACATACACCAAATCAGCTAAGGCAGTCCAGCAAGCAGAGATTCCTTAAGGAATCCCATCAGAAAAACCTGGATGTTTGCATCCTCACCATTAAATAAGTAGCCTAATAACACCATGAGCAAACTCCCTCCAGTTCATGGATTAACACCTCATCATTACACTTCAAAGAATCTATCAGACTGTTATTATTCTCACAATTCTTACAGTATCTTTCTTCCTGTTCTTTCCCTTTTTTTATGCTCAGTGAACAAACTGTTCATTTAGAATAAGAATTCTGAGCTGCTATTAAAAGAGTTCCTTAACTCTTCTCTTGACACATTGTGCAGAAAATAGGGACAACCTGGCAAAAGATATGGAACTATTAAAACACCTTTTTTTTTTTTTGTCAGAAACCTGTAGAGTTAGATTAAAACTTACTTACTTTCTAACTTCACAGGAGGAAGCTGAGATATCTTCCCTTTGCATGGGTGAGAAGTTGCTCTCATCTCCCAGCAGGAATGGGCAGTGAGGGTGCAGAACCACCAGTCTCACATCAGCTCCACATCAAGCAATGATGAGATTTCATAGAATCACAAAATGGTTTGGGTTGGAAAGGACCTTAAAGCTTGTCCAGTTCCAAATCCCTTGCCAGGGGCAGGGACACCTTCCACTAGACCAGGTTGGCAAAGCCCTTTCCCATTGTGTAGGGAGTGGTTCTAATCACTTCCATTTCACATGGATTTTGTGAACTCACTCTCTGACTTAATTAGAAATGCCCAAAATAAGCTAATTTTCTAAATATTCTCAAAAATCAGGTTTGTGTTGTCCTGAAAAAGTTATCTTCCAGATTTTGGATATAAGTTTAAAACCAGTCAATTCATTATCTAAGCACCCCAGGATCCACAGTGTAGTTATCCCTTCATGTGCAGAGAGGGTGTACATGTATTTGCGATTCCACTTGTAGATGAACAACCATGGCACAGAGAAGGGATTTGCCCAGGGCCATCCAGATACTTTGTGGAGGAGCAGGGACTTGAACCACTTTCTTACATTCCTTCTCTGGTTCAGTAAGAGACCAAGATGATTTCAGTCAGTAGACATTACAGGGCTCTTCATCTGACCCTATCTCATATTTCACAGTGTAGCACTCAGGTACAATATTTCCTGCAAGTTTGTTTAACTTTGCTAGTGTTCCCATTTGTCTACTTTCCTACCAGTGTGCTCAGTATTTCCCTCAGCATATTTTGACTGGGAAGCAAATAAAACGAGGGATTTTACCATTTGTCAAAGCTCTCCAAGTTTCGGAGTAGCATGGTCAGATTGGCACTTGTGATGGAAGTGTATGCTTCATGCAAGTCATAGACAAGTGACCTTTCTGCAAATCTTCTGTGTTTCTTCTTCACCAAGTAAATTGCTGGTACACATATAAATCCCTTTTTTCTTCTAGGGTTTCCTATTTAGAAATATGTAAGACCTGCTCTGTGCCTTTCTAGGCTGTAGG